TTGGCCCCACTATTCCAGGTGCCACACAGAGCAGCAGGTGTACAGAGTGTTCCCATCATTCCAGAAAGTCCTGTGGCAAGCACCGGCCTATAAGGGGATCTTGCCCTCATCCCCTGCCTGGTTCCTGGAACATCCATTCCACAGAGAAAAGGCAGGAAAAATGCTTGCTCCTTTGGCTCTATCGAACTTCAAAACAAGCTGGTTCCGTAACACCTGCCAAAGGAGACTAGGGAGATTCTTCTTTTTCCTTTGAGCACCAGCATGAACTTTGGACTTTTTACACATCTCTTTCAGGGCATCCGTGATGTTCACACTCACCTGTCCCATACTTGGCCAGCAGGGCCCAGGTAGGCCCTTCTGACACATCTCATGTAGTAACTTACACAATCACCACATTCCCAGTGAAGATTGAGAATTAAAAAGAGCCACTTAAGTACTCTGATTTTACATTTACATTATTCTTTTGTGCTAAAATTTGTGGGATTTTTTTTGGTAGAAGAACATTTATGGCAGCTTTACTAATAATAACCAAAACCTGAATTTTGTGGTTCTTTAAGTCATTAATTACTTGTTTTCTCCTCCAATACATACAGAAATATTGAAACCAAAACTATGATTCTCAAAGGCATCATACAATTTTTAGAAATGTGTTTGCCCTTATGGTGCAGCTCACTAAAACATTTACAGTAAAATTGTCATTTCATGAGAAATAAATCCTCTCTCAGAGACTAAGTCACTAACTCAAGTCACAAAAGACATGCACCTAGATTAATATATTTCATTTTGTCTTCGATCTTTAGGGATTCCCACCCCCTACATACATCATTTAGCATATCTTAGTTTTATAATTATGTAAAACATGCATATGTTGTTACAAAGAAAGGAACACTTGAAGTCTCCCAGAATCTAGTGCCCCCTTCTGAACCTCCTCCAGGAGGTACCATGTGGTTCCTTTATGGTTTACAAAAATAAAGTATGGCAAAACCATGTATGTCCACATCCCCCCACCCTTCCTTATAAGCAGGTCGCATGCTGCATCTCTTCATCCTTCACCTTATTCTTTTTCCCCCCTGCTCATTTCACCTAGAAATCGTGTCACCACTATGCATGAAAATCTCCCTCCTTCCTCCCTTTACTCAGAACCCACTCCCATCAGTCACCAGCCCTGACTGGCCCACATCAAAGTCATTCTCAGCTTTGCTATTTCTGAGTATTGTTATAAATATGTAATCCTAATTTTTTGTTCAATTTTGTTTTTTTTTAAATTGCGGCAGGGTTACACTCTGTCACCCAGGCTGGAGTTTAGTGGCACAATCATGGCTCACCACAACCTCAACCTCCTGGGCTCAGTTGATCCATTCACCCCAGCTTCCCGAGTAGCTGGGACTACAGGGAAGCACCACCACACCCAGCCAGCTGACTGTTTAATTCTTTGTAGAAACGAGGTCTCACTTCGCTGCTCAGGCTGGTCTTGAATTCCTGGGTTCAACTGATTCTCATGCCTCAGTCTCCCAAAGTGCTTGGATTACAGGCATGAGCCATCATGCCCAGTCCTTCCTTATTTTTGATTGAGTATCTCTGGGATACACTTCTAGAGGTGGACATGCTGGAGGCAAAAGATAAACACATATGTAGTTTTGCTAGATATTGCAAATCCCCCTCCAAGGAGTTGTGAATCCCAAAAGCAACTAGCACAGCGGTGCCTGATTCCCACCACTAGAATGGCGTCCACTCTGGGTGTTTGCCACCAAAAGGTCAGAAATGTCTTGGTGATGCACCAACATGCAGGATTCTTATGTCAGAAAGACTGAGCATCATTCATATCTCGGCCAGGGGTCATTTGCATTACCTCTTCTATGAAGCATCTGTTTCTCAATAGTCACACCCATTTTTGATCCTTAATACCAGTAAATGAGCAGTATGTACCTACTGAATGAAAGAGACTCAACAGACAAAATTCAAGGACAGACACCAAATTCATGAACCTGAGCAGAGAGATTGGCTGGTGCGCACAAGAACACGCAAGAAGATACTGCAAGTGGATTGTTTGTGTGCCCTGGGAATGGGAGGGAGCTACTGGGCACACCTGAGCCTGGCCTCCTCCAGTCCTGTTTCCTCCTCTATGCCCACTGGGTCCTAGATGGCAGTAATAGGGTGACCACAGGCCACTGCTTCAACTGAAAGCAAGTGTGGGCTAATGCTGATCGGGACACACCCAAGAGCAGACCAAACTTGCATCTGTGGAGAAAACCTAAAGACAATCGACATGCTAAGCTAACTTATACCTAAGAACAAAAGGTGCATGAAACAATGTCTTTATAATCTTGAAGAGATAATTACTAAGGGAGGCTTTTGCCTGTTTGACCACCAAGCATCATGTGCCATGACCGTTCAGACTGTCCTTTCCCATCAAGTCCCTTTGTGCACTGGGTGGGGAGAGGATGGACCCAAAGGAAAACCTGGGATGGCCTCTGGAAATTCCCTTCTAAGATCCCACACTGACTGCTTGTCATACCATGGCTTTGTCTGCCCTGAGGGTCAGTGACTGGGAAGAGAGAGGTTTCCTCCATTCATTCAATGAACAAGTACCTACTGCTCAGACCACATGCTTCTGAGTTAAGAAAGAGCCAAACAGGCAGAGCGCTATGGCTCATGCCTATAATTCCGGCACTTTGGGAAGCTGAGGTGAGAAGACTGCCTGAGCCCACAGGTTCGAGACCAGCCTGAGAAACCTGTGAGACCTCATCTCCACAATAAATTTTTTAAAAATTAACCAGCCATGGTGATGCATGTCTGTAGTTCCAGCTTCTTGGAAGGCTGAGGTGGAAGGATCACCTGAGCCCAGTAAGTTGAGGGTGCAGTGACCATGAGCGTGCCACTACACTCCAGCCTGGGTGACAGAGTGAGACTTCAACTCAAAAAAAGGAAAAAAAGAAGAAAAGAAGGGAACAGGCAGAGGCAGCCTGGGGCCTGGGAAAACCCAAAGCCAGCCCTCCCCGCAACAATGCCCATTCCTTTGGCCTGCAGGTGTTTCCCTTCAACAAAGGAAGCTCAAGTCAGGCACTGTGGCTCACGCCTGTCCTTCCACCTACTCAGGAGATTGAGGCAGAAGGGCCGCATGACCCCAGTAGGTTGAGGTGGCAGTGAGTTATGATTGGGCTACTGTACTCCAGCCTGGTAACAAAGCGGGACCCTATCTCAATAAAAAACAAAGATACAAACACCATGAGACTTGCATAGTTTCAGGGACTCTGAGACACTGGGTCCTCCTCTCTTGTCTCTGTTAATACCTGACACCCACAAATGGTAGTGACAGCACACTGGCACTAGCACCAGGTAATGGGCATTGTTAACACTGACAATCCTCACTTCTAGGAAAGTGGTACAGACTTTGAGTCCAATCCTGTCTCCAAAGAGCTCTGCAAGCTCTGAGCAGGGTTGGAAAAACGTAAAATGGCACATGCAGCATGGATAACAATCTGGTGGTTCCTGAAAAAAGTTTAACACAAAGTTATCATGTGATCCAGCAATTGCACTCCTAGGTATATATCTAAAATAATGGAATACAGGTATTCAAACAAAACTTACATGTGAATGTTCAAAACAGTTCTCTTCACAATAACCAAAAAGTAGAAAAAATCCAAATGCCCATCAATGAATGAATGGATAAGCAAAACGTAGCATATCCATACAACGGAGTATTTCCCAGCCATAAAAAGGAATGAAGCACTAATACATGCTACAACACGAATGAACCTCAAAAACATTATACAGAGTGAAAGAAGCCAGACACAAAGGCTACATAGTATAGGAATCCATTTATGAGAAATGTCCAGAATAGGCAAACTCACAGACACAGAAAGCAGATTAGTGGTCGTTAAGGGGTAAGCAAAGGGAAAATGAAGAGCGACTGCTAATGGGTATGGTGTGTTCTCCTATTACAGTGATGAAAATGTTCTGGAATTAAATGGTGGTGATAGTAACCCAACTTTTGAACACACAAAAAACCAATGGACTGTAGACTTTAAATGGATGAATTACGTGGTATGCAAATTATACCTCAATCACTAAAAAAAAAATTGTTTAAGCACAAGGAAAGTTTGGTTTTGTTAGAAGAACATTCTGAAAATGCTTTCCTGATACCAGAATCACTTGACCGTGGCCCATATTTTCTTGCCATAGCAGGTAGGAGCCTAAGTCTCACAAAATTAACCCCAACACTTATCACGTACCACATTCAGCACAGCCAGCAAGTTAAGAGTGGCCAAATCTCAAACTGTGCAACTGGCAAGACCTTGTTAGATGGGAAATGAACCCCTCGGCAAGTTATCTGCCAATTCTAGGCCGCAAGTGTCCTCGTCTATAAAAGGAAACACCTCACCCAGGAGGTCTCTCACCTGCCTCCAAATTCTAAGACATCTCTCAGTTCTATGTTCTTCTCCAGGAGGTAACCCAGTGCCAAAATGTTACTGACCGTCCAGTGGTAACAGTAAAAATCCCATACAGGTGTTAGGCAATACACTGCCAGGATCAGACAGCCCTTGACAGAATCTCTACTTAAGAGCTCTATGCAGGGTGGTCCGGTTCAGATAAGGGCAGCCAGCCCCAAACACCAGTGCGGTGATTAAGGAAATACTCTAACCATGTCAGTCACTGTTGGGAAATTATGGGAATGGCCAGAGGACAAAGGCTATTCAGCCAGGATTATCCTGTACCCCATCCTCACTGAGAATGAGTTCATCCTATTTAGGCCTGACCTTTTCAAATGAGTGACCAATGATGATGATTTCTTTACCCCAAACTGAAAGGGAAGGGCCAAAGCAGCCCCACAGAGATGGCATGGCACGCATTCCCTGGGGACCCGCCTCTCTATCTTCTCTAGGAAGGTGGCTGTTGGCTTCCAAAATAGCATTTGGTTTAAAGCATCCCAGGAGCTGAAAGGCCCACTGGACACACCGGACACATCTTCATTCCACAGACAGCAGACCTCAAACACTCACCTGGCTTTGGGGTATGGAGTCTGGTCCTACCAGTCGGCCATGTTCACAGTGACATCAAAAGGCACCTTGCGATAACGTGCTGACCAACCTAAAGCGAAAGAAAAAGAAACACTAAGTTTCCAAGGTTTCTGGAACATACTGGCAATTTTAAATGTCTCCAATCCCTGGAATTACATAGCAAAATTTTATACTTCCACCAGGGCTTCAATTCTGCTACCTTCCACAACAGGGACAAGTGGAAGAAATAAATTTCTACCAATCTGTTAAGTATGAACCAATACAAGTGCTAACTAATAAATGCCAGCATTCCAGACATCATCTTCACCAATATAGATGGCGATACAAAGGTAGTGAAGAGCCACATGAAGAGATAAAATTATTTTTATCTTTCATTAACTGAGCACAGATAAATGGATCAAGGTTTTTATTGTAATAGTAATGATATTAAAATCAGAAATAGGCCAAGCTCAGTGGCTCAGCCTGTAATCCCAGCACTTGGGGAGGCCAAAGCAAGTGGATTGCCTGAACCCACAGGTTTGAGACCAGCCCGGGCAACTTGGCGAGACCTCGTCTCTACAGTAAATAAAAAATTAGCCGGGAGTGCTAGTGCATGCCTGTAGTTCCGACTACTTGGAAGGCTGAGGCAGAAGGATCACCGGAGCCCAGCAGGTCGATGCTGAGGTGGCCATGAGCATGCCACTGCTTCAACCTAGGTAATGGAGTAAGACTCCAACTCAAAAAAAACAAAACAGGAACTGGGCACAATGGCTCATGTTTGTAATCCCAGCACCTTGGGAAGCGAAGGCAAGAGGATTGCCTGAGCCCAGGGGTTCAAGACCAGCCTGGACAACTTGGCAAGACCCTGCCTCTATAATAAATCAAAAAATTAGCCAGGCATGATGGCACACATCTATAGCCCTGATCTACTCAGGAGGCCAAGGAGGAAGGAATGCTTGAGCCCAGGATTTCTTTCTTTCTTTTTTTTTTATTTTGAGTTGGAGTCTCACCCTGTCAACCAGGCTAGAGTGCAGTGGCATGCTCATAGCCATCACAGCCTCGATCTGCTGGGCTCAGGTGATCCTTCTGCTTCAGTATTCCAAGTAGCTGGAACTACAGGCATGTGCCACCACATCCAGCTAATTTTTTTATTTATTGTAGAGACAAGATCTCACCATGTTGCCCAGGCTAGTCTCGAACCCATGGGCTCAGGCAATCCTCTCATCTCCGCCTCTCAAAGAGATTACAAGCATGAGCCACTGCACCTGGCTGAGATCAGGACTTCAAAGCTGCAGTGGGCCATGATGATGCCAGTGCATTTCAGCCTAAGCAACACAGTAAGACCGCAACTCAAAAGAAAAAAACAAAGCCGGGATCAGTGGCTCAGCCTGTAATCCCGCGCCTTTGGGAGGCTGAGGTGAGTGGATTGCCTGAGCCCGCGGGTTCGAGACCCACCTGGGCAACTTGACGAGTCCTCATCTCTACAATAAATCAAAAATGAGCTGGGCATGGTAGCACGCGCCTGTAGTTCCAGTTACTCAGAAGGCTGGGGTGGAAGGATCGCCGGAGCCCAGCAGGTCGAGGCTGCGGTGGCCGGGAGCGGCCACTGCACTCCAGTCT